GGTAATTGGTTGAGGTCAGAAATTACAGTTCTTTCTGAAGATCTAAAGTCATTTAATTCTCCCAGTTTTATCTTCCTCATCAGCACTCAGCAGGTTCTTAAAATATTTCATCATGTGGCTGAAATTTCTTAGTCCCATTTCCTAGACTACAGTGCAAACAGATTGTCTACAGGTGCCTAAGTTATGGTAACAAAAATTGGATTTTTGAAGATAAGGGCTAGTTCCTTCAGGCCACAAAGGTGCCCCTTAGTGCATCACAACACAGCTTTGTGACCTGGAAATAACTTGAGCCCCAGGGAGAGAAGAATCCCTTGAGACCCACCAGCAGGAAGCACAATACACGACAATGTTGTGTCATGGTGACTGACTGTAACACAGGGTAAGTCAAAAATGGTGACGGAGCTCACAGGCAGAGGCAGTCATAGCTAGCCCTCACTGGATCCTTACTCTGTGTCAAGGACGAAATTCATTGTAAGCATTCATATGTATTAACTCACTTAATCCTCTCGACAGCACTGTGAGATGGGTACTGTTATCCCCATTTCACTGATGAGCAAGCTGAGGCACAGAGAAATTAAATGATTTGCACAGGTCCACACAGTAACCGGCGGCACCAGGAATCGAGTACAGGCAGTCTGATCCTAGGCCCCCTGTCCTTAGGCACTCTGCTGTACCATTTCTCAGACCCAAAAGACGCCGTGTCGTTATTCAGGCAAGAAGAACACCACGGAGATGACATATAACTGAGAAAGGTCTATACTCATGGCTAGACATGCCATTATCAGCAGGTGCTCGTTAAACGTGATGACCACTGTGAGTGCCAGTTTTCTTAGTATAACTGCAGAGATGGAATCAGGGAAATCATATCCTTCAATCCTTGAAGACTACTTATTTTTTTTAAAGATTTATTTATTTGAGAGCGGAGGAGGAGAAACAGAGGAAGAGGGGGAGAGAGACTCAAGTAGACTCTGTGCTGAGTGCAGAGCCCAATGTGGGGCCTGATCTCACAACCCTGAGATCATGACCTGAGCTGAAACCAAGAGTCAGGCACCCAAATGACTGAGCCTCTCAGGCGCCCCAAATACTACCTATTTTTTTTAAATAATAAGCATTCTTCTGCCTATTGATTCTCTTGTGAGTTTATCATAGGATCATAGAATAGAAATGAAATGGACTTTGAGATATCATCTGCCAGTTGAATCTGGAAATAAGAGGTTAACATATTTTCAGTGATGAGCAAACTTATGCCCTCCTATTTTAAATATACATAATATGCTGCATTTCTTTATACATCTAATTTATTACTGGATCATGAGAGCTGGCACACAAAGCCTGTTTCCTTGCTAGCAGGTAAGATCCACCAGCCTGCTTCTGTTTTGCTCACCGTGCTTCAGTGGCTAGGACCCAGGGAGCTGCTCAGCGCCTATTTGCTGCCTGGCTGACTGACCGATTCACTTACAGAAGGCAGGCCTTGCTCCACGATGACCTATGGGGATAGCTGCATGATACAGGCCAACTCAGCAGACAGGAGTTGGGCACACTGCCAGGGTCTATGTCCTGGTTCCACCATTTGTTCGCTCTGTGACCTTGGGAAAGTCCCATGAGCTCTCTAAGCTCCAGGTCCTTCATCTGTTAAATGGGGATAATAATAGTACTTCCCTCATTGGGCTCTTCTAAGGAAAAAAACTGGAGATTCACCGTCAGCATTCCCTAATGGGCATGCAATACGGACTATCTTCCCAAAGTCAGCACCCCACGTCCCCCCACACCGGCTAAGTAACAGAGCAGTGATCCCCAGTGGGATGCTCACGTTCAAAGGCTGCCAAACCCTGCTTTAAGGAGTGCAAAGAAGGCTGGCTATTCTAAGACTTTACAAAAATCAAGCAAACAAAAAAGCCCCTGTATATAATCCCTTCCAAAAACTCATCACTTGGGCTATCCAAAAGTCTCACTAACATCTTTGCTCTCTAATTAAATTATTTTTGCTCCAAGCCAGACTCTCAAGTTAATTTAGGTAAGCCACATTCCTTCACGGAGTTTACAGAGCCTGTCAAGATCTCACCTCTGCTTCACCCTGAGCGCTCCTCAACCTTCCTTTCATCCATACAGAATCTGTTCTTTGAAAGCACCACGTTCTCCCCACCATTCTGTTTTACAAGCTCTTCCCTCAGCCTGGCATACACCCCCGTCCTTCTTAGCATTAGGTCTCAGCTAAACCATCACTTCCTTCAGAAAGCTTCTCTCCACCTCCCGAGATGGGACTGGAGATCCCTCGTGAGTCTCAATAGGCCCATGCTCCTCATCAGGACACTCATCGCTCCCATCATAAATTGCTTGTTTTCTTTTCTTTCTTTTAAAGATTTTATTTATTTTTGACAGAGAGAGAGAGAGAGTATACAAGAAGGGGAAGTGGCAGGCAGAGGGAGAAGCAGACTCCCTGCTCAGCAGAGAACCCGATGTGGGGCTCCATCCCAGGACCCTGGGATCATGACCTGAGCTAAAGGCAGACACTTAACAGTCTGAGCCACCCAGGCGCCCTATATATAGCTTGTTTTCTTGTCTGTATTCCCCACGAGGCTGTGAGCCCATCACTGTATCCCCTAGCTCAGTAAGTGCTCAATAAACACTCAGCAGAATCACTGAGTGAGCAAGGGAATGTTAGAAGTTCAGTTCTGTGAAATAGAGGAAATGAATGAACAGGACAGTTACATTTACTTTTTCCCTTCAGTAGGTACTGGATATGGGGAAACAGCACTTTTCTTCACTTAAAAAAAATTTCATATCTTTATTTACTTGAAGATATGATCAAGGTGCCCCTTAATCTGATCTTCCCCACCTAAACAATCACCCTTATGTTTAACTCATTACATGGTAAGTCCTAAAATCATTCACTAATTTGGTCCAATGCAAGAAGCTTTTCTGCATGTGCAGATTCTAATTTACTACTATTGGGTTTTTAAAAATTAATATCTGGTGCTACATTTGTCTTGACTCAAGTAATTTTAGAGGCTCAGTTATTTAAGAAACGCTCATTAACTTCTCTTTCCAGAGCACAGGGTAGAGTACTCAGGCAGAAGTTAGGGAAGGAAGGATATCTCTCAGCCCCTGCAGCCCAGAACTTTAAGTGGGTGAAGAGGCAAAGTTACCATAGTGAAAGGTGATATAAGCACATATACAGAAGATTAAGATATATTGTCTCGTTTTGATGTTTATGCAATCCTGAGAAGTAAACAGAATACAATTTATCGCTACTTACAGACAAAAGATGGCATGATTTCATGCACACATAAGGAATGACAGACCCAGAACTTGAGCCCAGGTCTGTCCAGCCCCAAGTCCAGATTGTGCCCTGCTGGACCACTCCATGTCCCCACTCCATGCCCAATGAGACCTAGAGAGCTGAGTGAAAGGCAAGGCCAAAACACAGTGTGAGTTCATATGACATCGCACAGGAGACACCTCCTCCTCAAAAGCCCCAGAGGCAGGTAACCCATGGTGCTTAGGCTGCGGGGTGAGTTGCACAGTTTGATATCCCACTTCCCAATAAATGTGCACAATCTCCATTCGGGCATTTTGCTGGAAGAGAATATCACTTTTCTTCCCTTGGTGGAGAAAGAAGAGCAGCCTACCCCAAGAAGTTCTCCTTTTTTTTTTTTTTCTAAGATTTTATTTATTTGTCAGAGAGAAAGAAAGAGAGCACAAGCAGGAGGAGTGGCAGAGGGAGGGGGAGAAGCAGGGTCCCCATTGAGCAAGGAGCCCGATGTGGGACTCGATCCCAGGACCCTGAGACCATGACCTGAGCGGAAGGCAGACACTTGACTGAGCCACCCAGGCGTCCCAAGAAGTTCTCCATCTTAATATGTGAAATCAAAATGACAGTTTAGCAAGACATGGGAGTTTTGTCTTTTCACTCTTATTTTTTGCTTTACATCAAATCCAAAAACATCTAGGTCCACATTAAGAGAAGTAAATTAGTAGTAGGGGCACTATTAGTTTGTTTATCCAGCATAAAATTATGTCCTCTGTAAACGGGAATATCAAGTAGCATAAAAAGCCTAGGTGATTTACATTTTCTTTTTGATTAGAGGATTGCATCTACTATACTCAAGGAAGGAAAATCTCTCCCATTTAGCTTTTGAAGATCAAAGGGGCCATTAAATATGCCATATTACCAGCATTTTTTTTTTTTTTTTTTTTTTTTTTGGTTAAGACCAGGAGGCGCTTTACAAATTGAGATTGTCATGAGGAAAAGGGAAGACTTTATTTGGGTTCATATGCCCTGATTATGGACTAGCCCACGTCCCTCTGGCAGGACCATATGTTTAACCTTTTGCTGAAATAGGGCTGTCCTACAGCTAAGGGCACACACTGACCTGTGTTCTGTTTTGTGTGCATCCATGTGACAAACCAAAAGAATGCGAACTAAGAACTTTTCAGTGAGCCACCATCTGATTCTGAACATTGGGGATCTTTCTACAACACATGTGATAAAATCTATAAAGACAAAATGAAAAGCAAAATACTTAAAAGGAGGATGAACCTAGGTAGGTATTCAGTTGAGATAAATCTTGCTTTCCCTCACAGCAGAAGCAGACCAAGGAAACTATCATCCAGGCAATAATGGCATTTTCTTCCTAGATAAGCCCCCAAACGTGTATGTCACCAGCCAAAATGTGAAATCAGTTTTATCTTCACTAGCTGAAGTACTTAAGGTGTGCATAAGTAATAGCATCCCTTGAACCACTGGCATGTGATTTTCAGCTGTTTTGGGGCATTTATATTAACTATCCCCCATTTTTATTCCCTAATTTAATGAACTTGTAATTAAAACCTTTTTGCCCTTATGTATACTCCGTATGCCTAATTTGAGCCTCAGTGATGTCTTCAACACGTGGTTGTAAAAGGAAAATTATAGGAGAAAGAGTCAAGTGAGATGACTAAACATAATGAGTAATTTCATTTTGATTAAGGACTTGACATTTCCTTTCTGCTTTGGGCAGCCAACAACCAGTCGAAGACAAATATTCGGACCTCCGATATGACCCACACTGGAAGAGTAAGAAAGAGGACAGGAAGTTGTTGACTATGGAAACATTATCAGAGTATGTAGACAGCTCTACTGAAAATCTGACTCTGGATCCACTGTACCCTTCCAAGGAGTCATCGATGGAACTCTCGGGGGAGAAAGGTGAACACAGGAGTAGCCCACAGAGTGTTGCCTCTTTGCTTGGCAGTGAATTTTTAAGCCCCAACTATGAGCGTGGTGCCCATCAGAGCCAGCCATTTTCAGAGCTGAGCGACAGTGATCTGGGGGAGAAGTCAAGCAACCTCTCTCACTACTTGAAGAGTTCAAGTTCACATAACGAGGTTTTCCTGCCAGGATCACGTGGCCGTCGGCGAAGGAAGTCCAAACAATATTTCGTGGAAAAAAACAAGCTGACTTTGGGATTACCTAGTCCTAAAACGGACTCTTATCTTCAACTTCACAGTAAAAAAAGGGGGGACGTTCTCCCAGAACAGGTACGTAAGTGCTACTTAATAATCTCTCCCAAACACTGGAATGTGCCTTTGTTTGAAATGGCTGGAGATCACTTCCTTTGAGATGGTGATGTCATTACAGCCACGTGGCTGGGTAAAACAAACGTCCTATCCCTTGCTCCTCTTTGAAGAATCAGGGGAATTAGTCCACGAATTTTTTTTTTAAGATTTAATTTATTTATTAGAGAGAGAGAATGTGGGAGCGCAAGCAGGGGGAGTGGCAGGCAGAGGGAGCAGGAGAAGGAGGCTTCCCACCGAGGGGAGCCAGAGGGATCATGACCTGAGCCGGAGGCAGATGCTTAACAAACTGAGCCACCCAGGTGCCCCTATTCCACTAATTCTTTTTTTTTTTTAAGATTTTATTTATTAGAGAGCAAGTGAGGGAACACAGAGAGAGGGAACACAAGCAGGGGGAGTGGGAGAGGGAGAAGCAGGCTCAGCGCTGAGCAGGCAGCCCGATGCAGGACTCCATCCCAGGACCCTGGGATCATGACCTGAGCCGAAGGCAAACACTTCACCGACTGAGCCACCCAGGCGCCCCTACTCCACTAATTCTTAAGAGCAAAATCAAAGCCACCAATGGCTGACAGTGCTATAATTCAATTAATATATCCAAAATATGTCCATTCAAGGAACCATAGAATTTTTTTTTTAACTGCATACTCCACGAGATAAAATACAGGACTGAAGGTTTGATTCCCTGTGTTGGTTGCCTTTGTTTCTGCTACAGCACTGGCATTCAACTCTATTAAATGTCCTAATACATTGGAGGTGATGTGACATACTCATGTCAGTAACAGCAACGCACACACAAGTGATTCTCAACTTAGATTTTATATACATTTTGGGTGGTAGCAGGAGGGTGGCAGGCTATAGCATGTGGTTGTTTGATTTTTTTTTTTTAGATTTATTTGAGAGTGCGCACGTGAGAGCGAGTGCGCACGCACGCGTAGGGGGAGGGGCAGAAGGAGAGGGAGAAGCAGACTCCCCACTGAGCAGGGAACTTGATGCGGGGCTCAATCCCAGGACCCCAAGATCATGATCTGAGCCAAAGGCAGATGCTTAACCAACTGAGCCTCCCAGGCGCCCCGTTTTGTCTTTTTAATTATCCGGGTGATTCTATTACCTTTCCAACCACAACTGTAATCACTACACCACCCTTTATTCTGTGCAAATGATATAAACTTTAGTCTCTCCATCTATAAAATGGGAAAAATAAATGCCCTCCCTTTCTTATCTGATCATTTCAAGAGTAAATTCTATCCCAGATGATGGATTCAGAATCTGTTAGAGCCAGTAGCCTTAGCTCTATTTCATGGGCATTCATACGGATCCTATCAGCCCAACTCCTAGTGGACATGCCCATGGACATAAGAAAAGAATGGCCATCCTTCTTGGGGGAACCAGCTTGAAATTCATTACTAATGTGAGGTCATTTTTAAATATGAAGGAAAGGTTAATACATTACACGGGGATGCCCTTAAACCTATTCCATATTCAAATTGGTATTATTTAAAATGCTCTAACCTGCTCTAACCTATAAGTATTTTTTTTTGTAGAAATGAAAGAGGAGGTAGACGAACATTTGTGATTTTCTCTTAATTCAGAAACTCCCTTTATAGTCTTAAAGGATTATGGTCACATTCCTGCCATGGTAACTAATAATAGAACAGAAGAATGGATGTAGTATATTCAGCTGAATTCTCAAAACACATAGCTGAATGCAAAAGAATTATCAACATTTTTGACCCAATTTTAGATGTTAATGTACTTTTCATAAAATATATGAAATTTTGAATTTTGCTTGGTTGCTCCTTTAAAAATATATTCAACAGTCCATTATCTGTGAAAAGTATTTATAACCAGTAATTTCTCCCAGACTAGGACAATATTTTTCATTTGTTTCTAAACGTGTTCTCCAAAGAAGCCAGTCTAGACAAAGAGGCGAATTGTGAAGCCAAAAGAAAGTTATATTTCTAATAATAAAGGTGAAAATAGCTTTATTATAAACTCTTTAATAGCTGATTTCTTAATCGCTTATTTTTCTTAGTAGTTATAACTTAATTTACAAACAATATTGGGGTGACTTGACTGACAGTGATTCCATAGCATAATATTTTGCTAGGCCAGTGAGAAAACTTTAAAGCATTTTTGACTTGCTCAATCTTTAAGCTCATAAAATAGTCTTTGAAGTGGCTATTGACCTTGTCCACCACTTTCTCCAGGTTCAACTGTCTAAGGGCTGATTGCTAATTATATTCAAAATTGTTTCTTCACCATTTTCCAACATACATTTCCTTCATCTTACTCTTCTTCTTTTAAAAAGGATAGAAATTAGTGCTTGCTTCAGCAGCACATATACTAAAAAAAGGATAGAAATTAGTTTGACCTAGCAGTGTTGGACATGTGTAACTGGTTTATTGAATTATAGTCAATAGCACTGAACCATGTGTTCCTTTCAAGTCATTATTTATATATGAAGTATGTGCAGGTCTTTCTGCCAGTACAGATTATATGTTTCCTTATGGGCAAGAACTATGCTTTGTACCTATTTTCAATCTTCATGGTAACTAGCCTAACACACTGTAAGGTCTCAGTAAATATATGGGGAATGAAAAATGGACCTCTTCCATCCCTCCAAACTTACACTGTTTAGTATAAATTGTATGTGAGGGGAAAATGGTATTTTCTAGAACAGATGTTTGAAAACTTGGCTGGATATTAGATTCACCTGAGAAACTAATTTTAAAAAGTGATTCTTGGCTTCACCTGGACCAATTGACATCTCTGGGTAAGACCCTGAGTGCCATTATTTTTCTTTCAAAGCCCCCCAAGTGTTTCTAATGCTCAACCAAGATTGAGAACCACTAATTTACACCAAGGATTCTCAGACATTACTGTGAATCAGAATCAACTGGGGGGCTTGTTAAAACAGATTGCCATACCTAACCTAAGGGTTTCTGATTCACTAGGTGTAGGGCAGGACCCAAGAATTTGAATTTTCTACGTGGTTCTGGGTGACGCCACTTCTGCTGTTGGGCCCACTGAGAACCACTGATCTTTTTTTCCCCTCAAACTTTAAGGCTTCTCATGAACCATCCCAGAATCTTAACATATGGATTTTAATCCAGTAGGTCTGGGGTGAGACTCAAGAGTGTGCATTTCTAACAAGTGCCCAGGTGATGTCAAGGCTGCTGGTCCATGGACCACATATAAAGCACCTACAGGGTTTTCCAGAAACCCAAAGTCGTAGTTGTGTTAAGTCAGTACCCATAGAGCATTGATGATTTCAATGGCTGATAGGATAATTCTGTTAATTTGGGAGCAGGAGGTAAGAATTAGGGGTGGCAGGTTTGGAGGGTATTGTTTTAGATTAAGCAGTATCTATCTGGAAGGTTTTCATGTTTGAAAATCTACTTTCTCCTCTTAATTTCTTTGAAAGAGATGACCAATATCTTACAACTAGAAATACTGAAAGGATAAATGACATCTATTGCCGAATGAATGACTAAATGTCAATTACCATTACACAGTGAAGAAAATCAGTTTTTTAATACATCATTTTGTCACAAGCATTTATGCCCAGTTGAATCAGACAGGGTCTTAAGTAGTTGTATTGTCTTTAGGGAAGATTTGAAAGTACATCTAAGAAGTTTATGACATTCCAAAAAAACTGTTAACAGTTTTTTTTTTAATAAGACTCAAAAAACTGATTAAGTTCAGATGAAAAATAAAAGCAGGAATAATAAAGAAAGCTCTGGACATTAAGAATCACAACAGAATCTAACACTGTACCAGAGAGTGTATTATAAACCCTCAATAATTAAATACTAGGATAATATTTAATGCATATATAGACAGAAAAATGGAACAACAGAGTAGAAAGTGCAGAAACAGAACCAAATTACATATGGGAATATAGGATATGATACTATGATTTGATAAAGCAGTATCTCAAATCAATGAGGAAATGGTGCATTGTTCAATAAAACAACTGGGTAGCCATCTGGGAGAAAATGAAGTCAGAGCCACACCTCATATCATACAACAAGATAAATTCTAAATGGACCAAATATTTAATTAAAAAAAATTAAACCATAAAAATACTAGGGAAAAAAATGAAGCAAATTCTCCCATGACCTCGAAATGGTTCAAAATCCACAATCTACAAAGGAGTGATAAATCGGACTACATAAATACCAAAAACTTCTGTAGGAAAAAAGCATAAGAATCAAAATACAAAGAAGAAAAATATTTCTAATTCATATCACAGATGAAAGCCTAACATCTCTAATATGTAAAGAGCTCCTAGAAATCAAGACCAAAAATCCCAATATAAAAATATGCAAAGGCCATCAATAGGAAATTCACAGAAAAGTTAATACATATATCTATGAAATATATAAAAAGATACCCAACCTCAGTCATTAGAAAAGAAATATAAATCAATACTACATTGGGGTTCTATTTTTCACCTATAATTAAACCAACAAAATTCCAAATGTTTGATGAACCTGTAGGCAAAAAGGTACAGTCAGGTTGGTGAGATAATAAATTGGCCTAACAGGTGGGGAGGACAACTTGTTAATATCTATTTAAAATACTAATACATATACTCCTAGAAAAATTAAGACATATGGCTAAGAGAATAGACTTCAGAGCCAAGGTGGTTGGCACTGCCACCTGCTGTCTGACCTTGGACAGGTTGCTTAACCCCTATGTGCCTCAGTTTCCTCATCCTTAAAAACAGAGAGAGAGAGAGATAATAATAGTACTTTCTTCACAGGATTATTAAGAAGATTAAGTACATAAGTTAATATATGTAGTGTGGTTAGATCAATGCCTGCCTTATAGCAAACATTATATAATTGTTCGCAACAATTATTTTTATTTGACCTAACACATCCAACTCCTAGGAATTTTTCCTGGTTATATATGTGCAGTTTTGAAATAACTCCTGTACAAGATTCTCCATTTCAGCC